AGTTTTGGGGGTTATGAGGGGAAAAAAGGGAATCTTGGGGTTTTTGAGGGGAAAAAATGGGAGTTTTGGGGGTTATTAGGGGGAAAAAAGGAGTTTTGGGGGTTATGAGGGGAAAAAATGGAGTTTTGGGGGTTATGAGGGGAAAAAAGGGAATCTTGGGGTTTGTGAGGGGAAAAAAATGTGAGTTTTGGGGGTTATTAGGGGAAAAAAAGGATATCTTGGGGTTTTTGAGGGAAAAAAATGGGAGTTTTGGGGGTTATTAGGGGGAAAAAAGGATATCTTGGGGTTTTTGAGGGAAAAAAATGGGAGTTTTGAGGGTTATGAGGAAAAAATTGGAGTTTTGGGGGTTATGAGGGCAAAAAAAGGAATTTTGGGGTTTGTGAGGGGAAAATGGGAGTTTTGGGGGTTATTAGGGGAAAAAAAGGATATCTTGGGGTTTTTGAGGGAAAAAACGGGAGTTTTGGGGGTTATTAGGGGAAAAAAGGGAATCTTGGGGTTTTTGAGGGGAAAAATGGGAGTTTTGGGGGTTATTAGGGGGGAGAAAAGGATATCTTGGGGTTTTTGAGGGAAAAAAACGGGAGTTTTGGGGGTTATTGAGGGAAAAATTGGAATTTTGGGGGTTATGAGGGCAAAAAAAGGAATTTTGCGGTTTGTGAGGGGAAAAAGGGAATTTTGGGGTTTGTGAGGGAAAAATAGGAGTTTTAGAGGTTGTGAGAGGAAAAAAGGGAATCTTGGAGTTTTTGAGGGAAAAATTGGAGTTTTGGGGTTTGTGAAGAATAAAATAGAATTTTGGGGTTTGTGAGGGGGAAAAATGGGAGTTTTGGGGTTGTGAGGGAAAGAAATGGGAATTTTGGGGTTGTGAGGGAAAAAAATGGGGTTTTGGGGGTTTGTGAGGGGAAAACGGGAATTTTTGGGGGTTATGAGGGGAAGAAATGGAATCTTGGGGTTTTTGAGTGGAAAAAACGGGAATTTTGGGGTTTGTGATGGAAAAAAATGGGAGTTTTAGAGTTTGTAAGGGAAGAAAAGGGAATTTTGGGGTTTATGAGGGGAAAAAATGGGAGTTTTGGGGTTCATGAGGAGAAAAAGAGAGATTTGAGGGGAAATAATGTGATTTTGTGGGGAATAATTCAATTTTCATGGGAACAAATATTTTGTGGAAAAAAATTAAAATTTTGTGGAAAAAAAAATTTTGTGGGGGAAAATCCAGATTTTGTGACAAAAATTCTGATTTTGAGGGGAAAAACCTGGATTTTTTGGAAAAAAAATCAGATTTTGTGGATAAACCACCTATTTTGTGGGAAAAGGTCCATATTTTGTGGAAAGAAATCGGATTTTATGGTAGAAAGTTCAATTTTCATGGGAAAAATTTCAGATGTCTTGAGAAAAAAATTTAGATTTTATAGGAAAAAAAAATCGTCTTTCGTACAAAAAAATTCACATCGTATGAGAAAAAAAATAAATATTTTTTTCTAAAAACCCGGATTTTTTTTAAAAAAAATTAATTTTTTGTGGGAAAAGCGTTTGGGGAGGGTTGTGAAATTTGGGGGTTATGAGGGCAAAAAAGGGAATCTTGGGGTTTTTGAGGGAAAAAAATGGGAGTTTTGGGGGTTATGAGGGAAAAATTGGAGTTTTGGGGGTTATGAGGGCAAAAAAGGGAATCTTGGGGTTTGTGAGGGGAAAAAGGGAATTTTGGGGTTTGTGAGGGGGAAAAGTGGGAGTTTTAGAGGTTGTGAGAGGAAAAAAGGGAAAAGCGTTTGGGGAGGGTTGTGAAATTTGGGAATTTTTGGGAATTTGGGAATTTTTGGCCCTTAGGGGAGTACGGGCTGCGGAACAAGCGCGAGGTGTGGCGGGTGAAGTTCACCCTGGCCAAGATCCGCAAGGCGGCGCGGGAGCTGCTGACGCTGGACGAGAAGGACCCGCGGCGCCTCTTCGAGGGTGAGCC